GATATTTCGAAAAGAAAATGGTCGATGGAAAATTGGCATGCTTTGTCGTTGGTTCAACGTCACTGTAGAGCTGGTTCACTGGCCCTTGTGCTAATATAGAGGACACAGGGAATCAAATTGTTATCAATTGTGGCGATAATTCGCCGTTACAACGAGTTCGTCATCGAATCGGTTACCCAGGGAGGATCCATTAAAACGCGATATACCGGAAACGACCGAGTCATCGTGCAATCAGAAATTCTTGTTTAATCGAAAACGAACTATTCTCCGCGCAAACGAATCTAGTAATTCAAATTTTATTTACGTAGGATAATTTAGTTGTTTAACGCGACGATCAAAATTTTCAATTTTATTAAATTTCATTATTTTGTTCTTATTCTAAATTAAATTGTCTACGTATAATCTTCTGTATGATTTTTAAGACGGACGATGTTTAGAACATACGTTTAGAAATTCGAGTTCCATGTTATAAAACGCTATCGTCAAATCGATCGATCCTTTTCTAATCGAATCTTCAATACTCGAGAAAAAAAAAGACGTCTTGAACTTGGCCGTCTCGATGAGAAATCGCGACAAGAGGATTTCACGACTCGCCTAATTCCCATAGTAAAAGATTAAATCTCGATACGATTGAATTTTTTATATTATATATTTATATACGCTGCGTGCTTTTTATCTTTTAATCGGATAGTAATGTGCAGTTCTAGTGTTTTCTCTCGATATTTTTTTTAAGCGCAACTTAACGAACTTCGTATTTCTTCTCTTTCTATCTTTAATAGTCGAGTATTTTTCCGTGCGTACGTTGACATGCTGTGGCGTCGTAAAGATTCACCGAGGTCGAAGCTAATCGAAATTAAATCGCGTCATCTCGAAACGATTTCTATCCCTCTTTGTCGCCATTCTCTCTCTCTCTCTCTCTCTCTCTCTCTCTCTCTCTCTCTCTCTCTCTCTCTCTCACGCTAGACTCGTTGATATCAGTTTTTGATTACGTCTATACTAGTTGCTATTGACTTTCCTTTAAAAACACAGAGCTCGTAATTTCTCGATATTTCAAGTATTTTTCATCGTTTCATAATCAAAACACACGACCGGACGAAGGGAAAACGTAATCGATGTTTTTCTATTTTAAGGAAAAATGGAATATTTTTCGTAAATAATATTTTCCGTCGATTCATCATAGACTGAAGAAGCACGTCTAAATCGTAAAAGAAACCATGTATTCGAATGTCATCTTTACTATAGTAAAGCTAAGAAACTAAAGCTAGTAAAGCTAAGTAAGGCTAGAGCAACAAAGAAATGTATCGAAGGGTTCAAAGTCCGAAAGGTCGAATGTCCCAAGTCTTTATTTTAACGTTTCTTCGAATTTTACAATTCCAATAAATTCTTTGCGAGACAATAGAATTTTTACCTGGGATCGAAAAAAGATTTATGATGGATATACATATCGATAGAATCCTAACGCAAAAATCGATATATTGTATTGAACCCTATTCTGTTAGCATCGCTTTTATTTGAACCGTAAGCACAAACAATTTCCTCAACTGGTTGACCGTTAAGCTAAAGGTTTTTCGGTATGTACGTCTTCCCCCAAGGTGATTTTTCGCCTTGTGCACGCCTCGTCCTCACTCGCATTTTTTTTTTTCTTTTTTTTTTTTTTCTCGGTGAACGGTCCAGGGCCGCTCGAGAGGTAAACCTTCGAGCAAAACGACTTTCAGAGCCCGCAGTAATGTACTTTCACATTTGCAAGACCGAGGCATTGAATCGTGTTGGAAACTCGTTTCGTATTGCGCGACGGAGAAGCGATAGGAGGCGGACAGGGATGGAGGAGAAAGAGAGAGAGAGAAGGGGAGAGAAACCACCTTCAACGGGAATGATTTTTCGCAACGATGCACCACGACGACGAACCACGGTGCCTCGAGGCTTCTCACGAAAATGCTAGCTGCCCGCCTCGTTTCGAGTGGAACGGTAACCCACCGTTGACGTTCATCGGTTTCGTGAGCATTGCGTTCGTCTACCGTGTCTGCGTGCTCGAAACACGCTCGATTCGTATAATTTAGGTGAGTCTGACAGTGTGGAAATCGTTTGTTCGTTAAAAATTATCCATTTTTCTTTTTTTTTTTTTTTTTTTTTTTTTATCCACGCTCACTATCGAGTCGTCGAAAATATTTTCGAGCATACTACGTTCCTGACTGAACTTTAGAGACCGCGGGCGAATACATGGTTCGCGGTACTCTGATATTTAGAGAGCGATCTGTATTCACATTCCCGCGCAGGACAGCAAGTGCAGTGACCCAGTGACACGTGGAAAATCTGGTCGGTGGCGTTCGTGCATGGATCCGGATGGATCGTATCGAAAACTCGCGAAGTGACTTTACTTCGGGTCTAATATCGACGATGACAGTCGCTGTCGTGGTACGTAGTTTAGCTTTTTGGCAAGGAAAAAAATCCGCGTGACTTGCTCGCCACGGAAGATTCAAGGTGCCTCGATCGCTACGCAAATAGCGACGATTTTAATTTTCCACTTGCCAGGATATACAAAGTCTCGGCGATCTCGAATTCCTCGACTTTCCAATCCGTGAATCGCGATCGAGTATCTTAGACGTCGCTTTTCACCTCGATCTTGTTACATGTCACAAAGTTTTGCAAAGAAAAACAGAACCGCCGTTAAAAATAAAAAAAACTGTGATATATTTCGAATTGAATAATATTAAAATTTAATTCTCGAAAGTAATTTATTTCACGCGAAAATAATGCGATAATGTAAGGACGTATATATATATATATATATAATTCGGAAAACGCATGGATACAATCGGGATCTGGCCGTGAAAGGAGAATAACGGACCGAACGCTGTTGCGTTTCCAGGTCAGACAGGAGCGCGTGAATTTTCGTACGAAAAACGGGTGCCCGTAGGCTCCCTCTCTTTCTCTTTGTCCATTTTCGAAGGCACTTGCCGTGAAACCGTTGAGGGATTTTTAAAGTAGGGTGCAGAAGCGGAGTGGGGTGCAGCACGATGTGGCGAAGTGGGATCGAGGGAGGGGCGTACCGTCGTACGGTCTGACTCTTTTATTGCACCCTCCTCTCTGGGTCGGTGCCGTGGACCCAATTCGCTCAGAGATCTGAACGACGTTGCGCCTCCAGCGGATATATTATAGACCCGTCGGATTTTCACGTCCCGATTGGAAAATTCAGAGTCCCGCCCGAGAACCGCTGTCCTTTAATGGCCAGTGACGTCACGCATCGCCAGATACGCGATTAGAACAGGCCGGTCTCTAATGGGATCGTGACGTTTCACATTGCCGCGTTCCGATCACGGATTCGTCTCGTTTGCTTTCGAAATTTTCTCACGATGCGACTGATTCACGATACAACTTTTCGCTCCTCCGATAATAATTATCGATCGCTACATGTTTTTCACGCGATTCTCAGCTCGCGTTTCGTACTATGCAAGAAAAAGATCGACTGTATCTTTAGACTGGGAGGGGGGGGGAGGGATTGACGCAGAAAGATCCGGTTTCACTTGGCTCGCACGCAAACAGATTATCTTCTAATCTAGAGACCGAAATTTCTAATTACGTTATCGCCCAACTTTCGCAAACATTCAAGATACGTTGACGATCGTCGGAATATCGATCTCTTCCATTTCTTCATACGACAATGAGAATGTTTCAAGAAATAAAAATAGGCATAGTTTTCGGATATGAATGGATCGATAATATGTAGAGAGGTTATTTTTGTAATTTACAAAAAGACCGTCATCGCATTATTAATACTCCGTCATTCGTATAAAATAATCATAAAGATATCAAATTTTCGAACGTAAACACGATTCCTCAAGTTTCTCTTGTTTTTTTGAACTAATGCACATTAAATGGTTTCAATGGTATGCATAGTGAATCCCTTTCTAAAAAAGTTCAAATTCTAAACGATCTCAAATAAAATATCCTCGATGAAGTATTGTTTTCTTTATTAACGCGTTTTTATTCGACATTTTCATAAAAAACGATTGTATGAAGTTGAAAAAAATAGGAAATTTTCGATCTCTTGTTTATTATTGTTTCATGAGATTGTGAATTAATTACAAGACACGAGCGCGAATGTCTCGGTTGGCGACGACGGTGGCACGACCGTGAAAGTGCTTAGATCGGTCGGAATTTTACTTGTTTCCGTTGTCTCACTACCATGGTTGCAAATCGCTGGTTCGATTACCCGTATACTGTTGTCTTTTCTTTTTTTTGTCGGAAACCGGCGTATCGTGGCGCATGGTAAAACGAGAAATCGATGAAGAAAACGATTGCACGAAACAAACGTTTATTTCGTTGTAATTTAGCATTACAAAATTAACGGATAAAATGAACGTTACGCGTATATTTTTCATTATGCGTTATGTATATCATGATTCTAAATAAAATTGCTCGTAAAGCAAAATAAAATTTCATAAATTGATCATGTTGGAAAAGCGATTCGCGTCATCCATCGACGTCATTATGATTCCGCTCAAATGCGGAAAAAAATTGATATTAGAGTAGTAACGAAAAGCATATGTTTTTGAAAAGATATAAAACATTTGTGGAAAATTCAATGTTTTGCTGTTCAAACTAGCGAGGCTTATTGCGAATAACTTTTAATTCTATAACATTTTCATGTGGCAATGTCCATATGTTCTGCAGATTCATGCGATAAAGAGGCCGTGATGGTTTCTTAAAGCAACAACTGTTAAAATGTGTATACGTCAGTGTGGCACATGAGTCATTCGAGAGGAAACGAGGACGGGGTGCTTGATGCGCCCACAATATCGTCGTCCCTGTGAAAGTGAGCGTAAATCGCCGAAGCGAACCGAAGATGGCCGAAGTAGGGCCATCGTGCGGCAGTCGAGCCCGAGCGATCCCCCGATCGTGGTCGTGCGTGTTGGAACGACAGGTACGGGTACGGGCAGTCAGTAGTGGATTAGCGGCAACGGGAGCAGCAGCAGTAGCGTCCACGGCGGCGGCGGTGGTGCAGCGCTAACAACAGAACGAAACGAAGAGGAGGTATGATCGCTCGAATCGACGGAAGACATCGCGAAACGGGTAAATAACATCGCATTTACCCTGTCCCGGAAACGTCCATTGAGTGAAACGAAGGTGCGCGCAAACGCTGGCTGCTCCACGGAATATGTATGTGACGGAGGTGGGCGAGGGCCGTGCGAAAAAGTGGCGAAAACTGTGAGAGAGGTGCAGTGCCTCCACGTCGGTGGCAGTGGCGGTGTTGGTAGTAGTGGTGCTGGTGGTGTGGTGGTCGTGGCGGTGGTGGTGGCGGCGGTGTGGCGTTGCTGGTGCTACTTCGGTGTATATGCGCGCGTGTATTGGTGGGACACGCACTTCGGCGGGGCCGTGGTTCTCGCTCTCTCTCCTGTTACGTCTCATTCCCTCTTTCTCTCGAACCCCTCTATTCACCGCGACTATCCTCTTTGTCGCCCTCACGGAGGCCATCGTACCGAAAGCGACCGAGCCAGGCCAGGCACTACGCAAGATGGCTGTGTGTCGCTAACGAGAGGCCGACAAACCAGACGGGGAAAAGACAACCCGGGGATAAACGGAACATGCTGCTACGTGATCGTCGGGCCCGTCCCTGAACAGAGAGACACTGGCCAAGAAGCGAGAGGTACGTTTTCTTTTTCTATTACATTAACATTGTCGATGACTCGTTTCGTTTTCCTTCCTTCGTTCTTTCTTTTTGACACGCCGATCTCGTGTGTTTCCATCTCTCTCACTCCGATCTGTAAAATGACACATTTCAAAATTTTTTCGGATGATTTTGTGGTTGACAGGTTGTCGAAGATATCATGATTCGTGTATCGTATTCGCTTCATTCTCGTTCGAAAGATTTATAACATCATCTATCGTTTTACATACGTGTATATCTCACGAACATACGTTCGATACGAGGAAAATATAAACAAATTAAAGTTTTCTCTTTGTGAACGTCGGCCAATCGCCGTGTGTTCATTCTATAAAACTTTTTTTTGCGAAAGCTAGTTGCCCGATCGCGCGTTCGTACGTTATAATTTACTTCACGTAAGCGGCGTGACAGTTTAAATTTTTTTTCCGCACCAGGTTTCGTATGACATCGACGCGACAGTCATTTAGAAGATCGTGAGACGGGAAACCGAATCGAGAACATCTGTTGCCGAAAGCTTGAAAAGGCGAACATAACCTCAAAATGTCGGTTTGCATGCGTCGGTAGGTAGAAGATACGTGATCGGTCCGTATTGTCCACGTCTTTTTCTTCAGTTTGTGTTTACGACAAGCTTATTGGTGGGTGTTTGCGTGTGCGTTTGTGCTCGATAAACAACTTTCGTCGCAAATATTTTGCAAACTTTTCCAACCTTAACGATCGTTTCGAGCGTGGATCTCAATAGTATGTTGCGCAGTGGGACGCAACTCTGCGAAACATCGTATCCCCGGAATTGAACGAAATGCCAGCGGAATCGTGCCGACGGAATGGAAAAATTTCAGCGTTGTAAGACGTTATACGAAGAACATCTGTTTTAAGCAAATGCGTGCACGTATGTTAAAAGTTACATTGCAAAAATATATATTGGATCGGGATTTTTACGTGTCATCGTATTGCACGTTGTTGGTATACGTACATATGTACACACGATATTTTACTCATTACGAATAAAATTTTATTGCTTTTCGTTGCGTCGTCGGAAATTTAAGTTCGCTTGGAAATTTTCCATATACCGTAATATACCATTGTTCACTTCGTATCATATTCTTGCTATATCTGGTCATTTATAAATTCGCTCCTTTTTTTCATGTTAAAAACTGTGTGAGAGACAAAAACGATATTATTTAGATATTTCTCGTTGAAATCTAAGAATGAATACTATATCCACATATCGAAATGATTATTTCCCAATTGAAATCATGTTTTCAGCGACGGATCGAAAACTGCGAACGATTTTGGTTGGGATTAAGTTTTCAAAAGATTATTTTCAAAAGATTAAATATTCGTTAAATATTGTTTTCTAAATCGAAACGATTAGCAACATTAACATTAAAGTAGAAAAAGATAAATGTTGAGTTGAATCATTTTCCCGCGGAACTTCGACTTCGAAAATCCAATTAGTTTCATTCGTATCTCGCTTCCTCCACTTCGAACTCTGCACGTTCATCCGCAGATCGATCGGTGCTCTATATTGTCGCGTTTGATTATCGTTTTCTAATTATCGACTGCGTCTGGCAGTTCGTGCGGCAAACGTAATCGGAAGTGGCAACTGTGCGATCGGTTAGCATATTTTATCTCGTTTCTGCTAGGTTTCAAACATGGCCTTCGAAATGGCCTTTCGGCTGAAAAGTCTTGCTTCTCGACTACTCAACACGTGCGGACGCATTTCAGAAGGACATTGCCATACTTTAAGATTGCTATTCCTCTTCATCATGTGTAAATGCACGCCTTCCATTTGATTATTTTTTTTTGCTTTGCCACGTTTTGTCTTTAATCTTGGAATAGGGGAATGACAAAGCACGACACCGGTTTTTATGATAGCATGTGTATAGCATAAAGGGTGAGGCGCCTATGTAGGCTGTTTCTAACGATCGTTATTGTTTCGAAAGACATTACTATGGAGTAATATTAGCGAAATTGTGTGGCAATGACAAAGTTTGATCGAAGATTGTTATTTCGTGATTTCAAGGCGATCACGAGCAATGCCGCGGAGTAAACCGAATATCGATCGATTACATTAAGCGAATGTAACTTGCTATAGCACTCGGGGACATTTGATGAACTAAGTTAACCTTAAGTTGACCTTAAATAAAGGAATAAGTTACGTGTAGCGCTGTATAATAGATCAAATTTATTTCTAAATTTTGAAATATGATTTTTACATGTAAATTAATAATCATCGTAAATCGTACTTCAAATAATATTCAACTGTTAGCTATCTTTGTCTACTATACCAGTTTTAAAGACAAAAAACAAGGAAACTTTTGTCCATATCGTAGTTAGTATTCCGTTAAAAGAGAAATTTTGTTATTCAAAGAAATAAGACGGACCTCTGTTCGCTTACACGGAATTTTCCATTCTTCACGATCTTTCGTTTGAGGATTAAATTTTGTCCGAATATTCTCTACAATGTGAAAGGCTGCGATACGTTTTTCCTCAAACAACAAAACTAGATCTGATTATTTTGTCGTTTATAAGATTCGATTCTATTTCGAAATCATTTCTGATACGCATTCGATCGATTTGATTAAACGTATTTTTACCAAATACAAATAGAAAAAAATTCACTAAATGTTTGTTATTCTGTTTGATCTTGTTAACGATATTTCTTTGAGCGCGAATACATTCGAGAGTAAAATTCTCGAGAATATTTCTCTCAAATTGGGAATTGAGAATGAAAATTATCGTTGAACAATTACAATGCGATATTCACTATCGAGAAATAGTTCTATCGAGAACTATTCCCAAGAATTTTACTCTCAAATGAACTCGTGCCCTTCGAACGAAGATACAGATTCAATTAATCGATAATTTTTCACGATCTGCTTTTTCCCCGATCTATTTTAGAATTCTTTCGATTTTCTTCTCGTATCTTCGAAAAATATGATTACACACTCGAATTGTGTAAAATTGTTTACGATTTCGATAGAAATTTATAAATAAAAAAGTTTCATAAATCGCGAATTCCAGAACTGGTGTCGTCAGCGGTAAATTCAAAGACGAATAAGAAGCTAACCTTCGATGTGACGCAAAGCAAGGAATATCGTGGGCAAAGAACGGCTCAATTTATACCCGTGAGTATAGGGTTCGTATCACGAAAGCAAGCGTGTTTCGAAGAAGGGAGGATAAACCTAAAAGGGGTGTAAACGCGACATGGAAACGGTGTAAATTGGAAAATTCCATCGTCAATGGAACGTTATCTTTCGTACGGCCGTTGTTGGCATCGACAAGGAAAGCGTGGAATTTTACAGGGAAACGGAGGGAGCGCATAACGTATTTATTGTGTGGCAATCTTAACAATCGATCAACAAAGTCTCTACGACTTTCGCATAAATCAATTTCGAAAGATTTCTTACATAACAATAACAATAATACTGCTTTCCTATCATCGTACGATCCATTGTCTTGGCGGATTCGCGTAAAAATTATAATTAGATCGGGCATCGCAATATCGGGCATCTCGCGTTCGAGTCACGATGAAAAATTACGATAGATATCGCTCAAAGAGGACGAGAGAAATCGATTTTCCTTAAAAATTGTTTTCACGAATCGAGCGTATCTCGAATAGGGATAACGAGTTTGCGAAACGTCCTCGAGGAATTGCGCAAAGAATAAATACAGAGATGGTTGGTTGGTTGGTTGGTTAAAAAACGCGCAAATAAACGTTATATCCCTCGATTCGAGTGAAAATTGATCTTGAACCTTGGTTTTGATAATAATCGTGGCAATTCTTTTCGAAACGACTCGTATTCGATCCGCTAACGCCGGATACATTCTTCGGTTTAGCTTCAAACATGACCCCTTACGCTATCGTCCCGAGATCGTTAGCAGCGGCGCGAAAACTCGGCACAGTAGAAACGAAGTCCAACGCATGATCATCCAATTTGTCGGCGAACTTTTGTGCTCTCGCGATTGCAGGTTATAAATACAGGACGTAACAACAGACGTTTACGATCGCGATACTAGACGGTTAATTTACGACAACGGGTACATTTGTAGCTCCTCAAGCGTTAGTTTGTAGTCGCTTAATTCGCACTTTTCTACGCGCCGTACGATCGCATTTACTAGAGAGAACGAATCAATTTGTCGTCGCGTTTCCCGAGTTCCGGAATCGCGAATGCGGAACGAACGCAACTTATCCAACTTGTATCTAAGTTATTTTTCTTTCGTTATCAATCGGCTGGGCACACATTGCGATTGATTGACGGAATATAAAGTGACGAAACGACGAGCATGCATCTAGCGCATGGCGTCTTCGATCGTTTTTTTTTTTTTTTCTTCATTCGTCGTAGCTTCGAGAATAATCTCGTGGAATTTTAGTTTCATTCGCGCGTCAGAAGCGAAGAATTGGCCAATTGGTCGGCCGACGGAACGATCGATGCGATTTTCTAGCGTCAGACGTTAAACGATCGTTACATGTTCATCCATCGTTGAACGAATGCTTTCAATCGACTTTTCTATTCTTCCAATTCTTCCGGGTGATGAAATTTCTTGGCGACTCGTCGACAGATCCATCGACGGGGCGGTGAATGCTGGTTGCGGGAAAAATTTCCGCGAAAAACGGATCAATTTTGAAATTGTTTCGGGTTTCCCGTTTACCTAGCAATCGGGTTGACTCATCGGGATGTGTGTATAGTCGATGCACGCGAGGGCGTACGTCGTGCATCGCGGATCGCGGCAACGCGCACGTACAACGTCGCGAGCAAGCGAGCAAGCGCAAACGCGCCAGAATTGGAATTTCGTTTCTTCGTCGGTTCGTTCGTTTGTTCGTCGTTGCGCAGATAGACAAGAGAAAGAGTGACTCATCGGCTCTATATCGCGATATAGAAACAATAGCTGCCCGCGTTTGGAAAGTCACGGTTGTGCCGGAATGGATCGTTTCGCGATGCCTCAACCGCAAAATCTCGCGATAGATTAGGTATACGCGCGGTTGTTCGCCGTTTTTCGCCGTTATTGTGCTCCGCGGCTTCGATATGTACGCGGGGTCGGACGAAGATAACGAGTTGAAAAATCAACGAAACGTCGGGACGAAAGATGTTTGCAACGTAAAGGTTACCCGTTGTATGCGGTGTAGTATCGCGTTTATCGTTGAGACACGAGCGCACGAAACGCATCACGATACGTTACGCCTTTCATCGCTCACGTTGCCGAACCTTGCCTGTTTCCCGCGATGATCAAACGACACACGACGATACATAAAGGCGGAACGAGTAAGCCGAAACTCCTTCGATCCGTTATCTGCCACGTGCTATTACGTAAAATCGCTTCTTTTATTACGACGTACGTAAGTACTGATCGGGATAACGCTTCGCTCTTGAAAAGGCGTACGACGTCGTACGCCTTTTTCCTCGTCGTTTTTCGCCGTCTGGTGCAAGCTGCGCCGCCGAGAATCCTTGCCAACCCGACCCAATCTCGCGCCTCTCTTTTCACCTTCTCGCCCAGCCGACCGTTCCAATTATTCTACTAGATCCACAATTTGTCTTCCTTACCTGTCCACATACCGTCCACATACCCGAACTTTCTAACCGCCCCCTTCCCCGCTCTCGCCACGCTTTTCCTCTCCTTCTTTCCCCACCGAAGAAAAGAGAGAATAATTTGGCACCGCGATGATTGCCACGATGACGAAGCGTTTCGTACGGGCTTACCTCCCAAACGAATTCGCACGCCTGGCGGATAGAACTCTTCGACGTATAGCTCCCTCCCTCTCTCCCTTCTCTCTCTTTCTCTTTCTCTCTCTCGCCGCTCGATTTTTAGCCTAGCGCCGCGATACAATGTGCAATAATACATATTGCTCGATGAAGTATAACGACGAAGTTGGTTAATTGGTAATCCATACGATGTCCCGTAGCACTCGATATCTACTACGCGCGGTTAAACACAGAACTCTCTCTGTGAACGGGTAACGAGCCGGTTAACGTAAACGTAACTGTACTTCGCGGTACCGTAGATCCGTTCATAATACAGGAGCAACACTATTTCTGACAAACAGCACTATAATTAGAGCACGTCGCGTACGTAAGGATGAAGGAGAATTGGCGGAAGAGGGAAAGAGAAAGAGAGGGCGAGTGGACGCGTGGTCTCGTGCGCGCGTGTCGAAAACCGAATCGGAGCTATCGAAAGTTTCCAAAACATTCGTCACGCGCCGATCGATCACACGCCCTCCCCGCGTTTTCGTTTTTCTTTTCCAAACACGTAGTACGTGCGTCCCTCTCTGCCCGATTCGCGCGCGCACTCAACCGTTTTTTCCTCTTTCTTTCCGCGATCGATAAGGGAAAAGAAACAAACGTTATCTTATCGAAAGCTTAAATTCGTATATATATATATATATATATTATATATATATATATATACATATATATATAATGTATATGTATATACATATCCACGCTCGATAAAAGTGTTCCAAACATTACAATTCGGTGTTTTCCTTGAGCGTTAAGGGAATATTGGAAATTGGAAGAGTTTTCTCGCGGAGAAATAATGGATGTATCGTGTAGAGAGATGGCTAGCTAGAGACCAACCCAATATGTTTGCCCTGTTCCAGCTACTCGGAGTGTCAACGCGCAGAAACCTGATATTCGGTAGATGCCTTTTGAGAGCCGCTGGCCCGAATCAGCGTGGAACCATACAAAGGCACATGTACGTGAAGGAGACTCTAAAATATTCATAGTCGTGGTGGTCGGCTGTTAGTTGCGTACGTTTTTTATATATCGCGCGTCGCCTCGTCGCAATGGCGAGCCGTGGTGGCTTCCTCTCCTCGGTTCGCCTAAATCAGAACGACGCACGTTGGGTCCCCTCTTTTTTCCGCCTCGATCCCCCGCTGCTCTCAACGACGCCTCGGGATAAAATCCATCTATATACCAAAAATTTTCTCTCTCTCTTCTGTTCTCTCTACTCGCCTCCGTTTTCTTTCCCCCTCTCTCTCTCTTCCTCCCTCTCTCTCTCTCTCTCTCTCTCCATTTTCTCCGTTTCTATTTTTAGTTAGCCTCCGTTTTTCCGTTGTTGTTTACCACTTGCCGTGGAAACTTGCCGGCAACCGTTATCGCTTGTTAGACAAGTAACTAGTAGCAGAGGCACGGTTGCGTAGAGTATTCGAGTATTCCATGGAGGAACGTTCGAACGTTGGAATAATGCGCGTGTTTCCGTTTGTCATTGCAGGGAATGTGTGACATGTTCATCCAAACACAGCAGACGAGTAGCGTCAACGGCAGCAGCAGCAGCAGCAGCAGCAGCAGTAACAACACCGTTCACCACCACAGCAAGAAACGCAAGTTGGAGTACAACGTGAGTCAGCCGGTGATCCAACACGCATTGGTCCAATCGACCGGCGACTACCAATTAGACAATACCGGTCTGCAACAACGGTACTCCGTGAACGGTGCTAATACCGCATTTAGCTCGCTGCACAACAATAATGCGCTGCAGAAGAGTAGCCCGAACCAACAGACCCTGGTACGAGCCTCGACGATCAAGCTCTTAGACACGTACCAACGCTGTGGCCAGAAGGTTGGTCCCACTTCCTGCGATTTTCTCCTACCGATAAACTCTCTTCTGACCCGCGTGATCGCGTCGAGGAAAGTCGATTCATCCTCGTCTTCTTTTTCTCTCTCTCTCTCTCTCTCTCTTATTCTCAATTTTTTCGTTTTATCTCTATCGCGTTCTCTCTCTCTCTCCCCCTCGAGCTCTTGTCTCTAGCTCTCCCTACAACTCTGACGTTAACGCTTCGACCATCGCGAGATGAACGCTAGAGATACGTTCGTAAACGCTTAGATTAGAACTTCATAATCGGGGCTAATGTATTCGCGCTTCTCGCCCCCTCTCTCCTCTCCTCTTCTCTTCTCCACCTCGTTCTTCGCTATCGATACGCTCGATGAGATGGCGCGTACCGCTCGAAACGACTATAAATAAGCGAACGAACCCCGTTCTCCTCCTCGCTTAAAAAAAACAACACTTTTTTCTTTTTTTTCCACGCACGATTCCTCTATAAAGACATTTCTCTATAAAGAGAAATATACTCTCTATGAAGAGAAATATACGAGAAATATCCCAGCTTTTAACGCGTTACGTTATTTATGAATCTTGAAAGGAAGGAAGTAGCCTCGGTTTTATTTCGGCTCGGGGACGCTTTCGAAATTTTAGGGACCTTATCCTTCCAGGTGTCCCTCGACCTTCCCCTTCTCTTCGCACGCCGTTCCTTGCTCGACTCGGAACGGAAAAACGATCTCTGTTCCGCCATTCGACGACAAATTTAATCCGGTCTTGATCCGTGTATTCTTTATTTCATCATCCATCTGCCCCTTTCCGATAAGAGGGCTTACGTCTGCCCGCCGCGGTATTTGTCTTCGCTTATTTTTCCATCGTCTTGCCCGCGCTCCGTTTCCGCAATCGGCTCGCGATACAACACCAAGCCAAGGCCGTTAAAAATAGTGCCACGTTTTTTTTTTTTTTTTTTTCCATTTCGCGGCCAAATGGTCATCGTGCTCGTCATTTTGTCATTCTGACACCGCTCGAAAATCGACTTCGTCATCCGGCCATGGTGGGTTTCGCAGAAGCGGCTTTCCACGACAACGATTTCAAAATCGTCCGGCAAGAAAAAAAAAAGAAAAAAAAAACAAGTTCAAGCAGAGCGTATCGCTTGTAAGAGAGAGAGAGAGAGAAAACATGGTATTTACGAAATGATAATCGTTCGACGTTCGACAGCCACGGATTAATATATCGTCTAAATAATTCTGATGGACTAACTTTCACAAAGGTAGCCTCGATCCATACGAGCGTAAAAAAAAAAAAAAAAAAAAAAAAGAAAAAGAATTCCGCTTCTTTCCGCGTCTAATCGCAATTAACATCTTTGCAAATCGATACCACGGTTTCGATTAATTAAGGAATGAATGGGTAATTAAGGAGTGAATCGATCGATTTTTAGCCCGTCTATCACGGAACGACGTACCACGAGCAACGACGGATATGTCGTTTCTCAGGTAACTTTTCCGTATGGCGTAGTTACGTATCGATTGCCTTCAAGGTTTTCATTCCATATTTCATGTAACCGGTCATCGTGATATATATTTTCGCCAATAACAAAGTGTTTCTTAACGCTTGCTAAAAATCTCAATCTCTCGTCGAAGCGAGGAGCAATCGCCCTTGTGAAAAAAAAAAAACAAAAAAAAAAAATGTTAATTTTTAATTCACGTTCTCCCCTATATACCTGTTATTCCATACGTGGCTGAAATTAATTTTCAACTGATGCAGCTGCTTATGTATGTATATACGTGCTCGTGTAACAAGAATCCAGAGATCACATCCGATGGATTCGTGTTTTTTTCTTGGATTTGTGTTGTCTCGGCATTGGATTCATCGTCCTCCGTGTGTTGGTCGTTATCGTCCCTACCCAATCTAAAGCTATCAAAATCTACCTACAATCTCTTAACGTCCAAAAATTTTTGTATAAGGTGTATTCCTCCTACAGAGAAAAACTTGGTCGAGGGAGGGTAATGGTGACGGCCTGGCAGTCCACTCCGCCAACGCGACGAACGCAGTGGGTAGTACTGTAGTGTCGCAGCACCACACTCAACAGCAACAGCAGCTGCAACAACAACAGCAGCAGCAGCAACAACAACACAAGCAGACAGGCATGACGGCACATAGCAAGCAAGTGACCAACGCTGCCAATGGAGGCGGTGGCAGCAATCCTCAAGGAGACGGAGATTACCAGTTGGTACAACACGAGGTTCTCTATTCTATGACTAATCAGTATGAAGTCCTCGAGTTTTTGGGCAGAGGTACTTTTGGACAGGTAAAATTCTTCTACGGCTACCTGGTAATAAAATAAATTTTCCCTCTACCTGTGATCTTCGAACTAAATTGTCCATTCGTTTTCTTTTTTATTCCATTAGGTCGTAAAATGCTGGAAAAAGGGAACCAACGAGATAGTAGCCATCAAAATTTTGAAGAACCATCCATCATATGCGCGCCAAGGGCAAATTGAGGTGGGTTGTTGAAAAAAAGAAATGGATTAATTTTTATTAATTTGTATCATTATTAAGTGGAAATATCGATTCTAAATCAGGTCTCCATCCTGTCTCGACTTAGTCAGGAAAATGCGGATGAGTTCAACTTTGTGCGCGCTTATGAGTGCTTCCAGCACAAATCCCATACCTGCTTGGTCTTTGAGATGCTAGAACAGAATCTGTATGATTTCCTGAAACAGAATAAATTTTCGCCTCTACCGCTCAAATACATCAGACCGATTCTCCAACAAGTACTCACCGCTCTTTTAAAACTTAAGGTGAGTTGCGTATCTTATATATATGCGTCGAACCGCACGATTCATTGGATAATCTAAACGAGTATATATTTTTAGCAATTGGGGTTGATTCACGCCGATCTTAAGCCAGAAAATATTATGTTGGTGGATCCAGTACGTCAGCCTTATCGTGTTAAAGTTATTGATTTTGGGTCAGCCTCTCATGTGTCTAAAGCTGTCTGCAACACTTATTTGCAATCGCGATACTACCGTGCACCTGAAATTATACTTGGACTTCCATATTGTGAAGCAATAGATATGTGGTCGCTCGGCTGTGTGGTTGCGGAATTATTTCTAGGGTGGCCTTTGTACCCTGGTAGCTCGGAATATGATCAGATTCGATATATAAGTCAGACACAAGGTGTACCAACGGAACACATGTTAAACAATGCCAGCAAAACAACAAAATTCTTTTACAGAGACATGGACAGTACGTAATGAGATCCATCGATTAATTTTCGTCTTTCTATTTTTGAACGTAACAGTTGCACGTAATTAGATTAATTTAAATTAATTGTAGGTACGTATCCATTTTGGCGATTAAAAACACCGGAAGAACACGAGGCTGAAACTGGTATTAAATCTAAAGAAGCAAGAAAGTATATTTTTAATTGTCTTGATGATATTGGCCAAGTTAATGTTCCGACCGATTTGGAGGGTGGTCAACTTTTGGCAGAAAAAGCAGACCGAAGAGAGTTCATAGACCTCTTGAAGAGGATGCTCACGATGGACCAGGTAGTAATATCTAGTTCATGTTTTAATTTTATAATGTCGAAAGATGACGGCCTTCTCTCTTGCGTGTTTAAAAAAAACAAATGAGAGTTATTCTCTGTATTGTTTTCATTCTCTAGCATGTTTTCATCATTTGTAGGAGCGCCGTATAACACCCGGGGAGGCTCTGAACCATGCCTTTGTTACGCTGGCTCACTTAGTCGATTACGCGCATTGTAACAATGTCAAGGCTTCCGTCCAAATGATGGAGGTTTGCCGACGAGCCGGTGATTTCACTGCAAGTCCAGCGCATCACCAAGCTCCGCCAGCACCTCAACCACCTCCACCAACGTCATTGGTAGCTAATTTCGTGCCGACGACGAATGGTAGTGCCGTAACTTTCACCTTCAATAACCAGTTGACCAATCAAGTACAACGATTGGTTAGGGAACATCGCACTGCACAAACAGGATATGACAATCTGGTTCGTTTTTACATTTTTTTTTCTTTACTTTTGATCGACCGCATAATTAAAAATTAAATTTCACTCATTCGCTTTCGATTATTTTTTCTATACTTCGATATAAAAATTTTGTGTACAAAATTTATTTTATATCGTGTATTTTTTTTTTTTTTTTAGTATCAAATATACAGTAACAGTAGTCGTCGTGCGACTCAGTACAGTAGCTCGTCTAGTGGATCAAATAGCGGACGAAGTGGAGTACATGACTTTCCGCATCAATTGGTACCCGGTCTACTTTGTCACCCACCCAGTTATCAAACGATGCCGAGTCCTGCAAAACACGTAGTTGTTGCTCAAGTAAACGAGATACTGATTTTTATTTGAATTCAATATCATGATCATATTCATGATCGTTCAATCATATCTCTTAATTTTCGTAGCCTCCACAAGCGCAACAAGCTCCGCTACAAATTCAACCATCGATTATATCGCAGCAGGCTGTTGCTGCCGCAGCTGCAGCTGCTCAACAACAGTATGCCGCGGTACCCGTATCTATGGTAGAAACTGGACGACAAATGTTATTGACTGTAAGTATCGTGTAAAGCGAACGATGTGTTTTAAAATTATATAATTATATAAATAATTTCATTTTTTCGTAGAATGCTGTACAAACCTCTTGGCCTGGTGGAAGTCGTCAAATGGCTGCTATCGTACCATCTTGGCAGCAATTGCCACCGCAACATGCAGCGATACAGCAACCATTATTGAGCGATGCCGGGGATTGGGGAAGACCTCTTATTGTAGATAGTTCTGCCATTCTGCAGGTAATTTTATTGCCTTATTTTATCGCCTTAATTATCTTCGTAAATGATTGGAACGGACTTTTAACTAACCTCCCTTGTTTTGGGAAGGATCAGCGGCCAGTATTTCCTGTCACAGAAGTTTACAATACTAGTGCCCTTGTTGAACATCCTCCTCAAGCTTGGGCAAAACGTAGTGTGACGAAGCATCATCAACATCACGTGACGGTACCTCAACAGTCTCAGCATAGGCACGAGCATAAGAAAGAAACGCAGCAATTAAGTCCGGTGAAAAAGAGGGTAAAAGAAAGTACACCTCCGAGCAACATGAGACGGCATTCACCTTCGAGCAGTCATTGGCAGCAACAACCCATGCAACAACATCATCATAGCAGTAAACACAGCAGTAGTCATAACGTAGAACACCATCAAGTTACGTCTGGCCGGCAGCAAACTATTACAATTCATGATACCCCATCACCAGCAGTTTCTGTTATCACAATTAGCGATAGTGAAGACGAAACGCCGGGCAAATGGTGAGTTAATTTACTTATTACTTCTTAGAATATTAGAAAGTAGTTAGAAATTTTTGTGCGTATTTATAAAATTAGAAGCTTTATATTTATCGAGAATGTAACGTAAAGTGTTATAGCAAGCCGGGTATTTAATTTGTCGTTAATTTGCTTCGTTAAAAATTTTTTTGTAGTTCGATAAATTTGAAAATTGCCTATTTGCTGGAGTCTCGTTTATAAATATCTATTCTTTTATTTTGTTTTTCTTTACGGAGATTTATCTGTAAATTCTGTCCATAGATGTTTCCACCATGGAATATATTTATTAGTAATTTATTAGAATAGAAAGTAGTGGAATCATGCATGAATATCATTGACAGCTGTGGAGATCGGCAATGCGGAGCCTGTCAAAATTTGGCAACTCGCCTGTCTGGCGATGGACGTCCAGTTCGCGAGGAAGTCATTCGAAGGTATATGAATGTAACGTAGTTCAATCACGCAATCACACACAATAGCATTGATTAATGGTTAATAATCGCTAAGAACGATAGCATAACACATTGCTTTTTTTTATTTATAAATGTAATGTTGTGAAATTAATTTTTGACATTATTAATGTATTTTATTTATATTATCATACCTGTGACGAAAGTTGCAAGCCTAAAAATTGCATATGATATGATAATTTAAATACACGTTTGTAGCGCTTGTGAGTGTCAATTAACTCGTTACGAACTAACGTGTAACTCTAACTTACAGCCCTAGCGTTTAATGCCATTTTTTCATGCTCGGTGTAAACGTATTTTGGATTGTATGGGGTTATCCGTTTTCTGGTTGTTTCTCGTGCAATTGAAAGCACATGTTTTTATATACTTTCAGCACGCAGTCAACACCACGCGTGGTCCAGCCTATGCAACAAACTCATTCGAGTAGTCAATCGCACACTAATGGACACGCAACAGCACACAGTACGTCTCAGAGGTCGCAACGAAAAAATATTATCAGTTGTGTAACTGTTGGTGATAGCGATGGCGAAGCTAGTCCGGGTCGAGCACATAATCATCTATATCAACATTTACCGCAACATCCTCAACATCAGCAAACTACGCAGCTAATTAAACACGAACCTCAACAACAACATCACGTCAGCAGGTAATTGAATTCGACCCAACAAAAGTTTATAATTTCATTTGAAGAAACATTCTCAAATGACGTCAATACATTGTTAATTGCAGTAGTAGCTCTGGATATTCTTCTCAATCGCAAAAGAAACGTTTGTTGGCCAAAGTACAATCCGAATGCAATATGGTGAATGTTGCGACGAAACCGGAGCCCGGTGTTGAGTACCTTGCACCACATCCGTGTCACGCGCCAGCCTGTAAAGAGCCACCGACCTATCAGGTTAAATTTTAATTAATAAATCAACCCTTTTTTTTTTTTCTTTCTTTTTTTCTTTCTCTCTTTCTTCTTTTTTTTTTTTTTTCCCCCTCTCTTCCTTCTTTTCATGCCTTATTTTTAATGGCCAACCGAGAGTTTCTGGGCTTAGTCGAGGAAACAATAACGACGATCCTGCTCCGCATACATTGGATACTCCCTTCCCCTGTTTTAGTAATCTTTATTTTGAAAATGTTTTTCTAGGATGATGCCTATGACATGCATGACTACTTCTTGCAGTATGTGACCACGAGTAGCGCGCATCCCCACCTTCAAGAGCAGCATATTGTGTATACGACCGGCACGGACAAGCGGGTATCATGGCCTGGAAAGAGAGCTGAATACAAACACGAGTACGTTCAACCACCGGCTGCTCATTCCAGAGACCACCAGAAATGGGCAGTGGCGAATACTGTGCATCAGTATAGGTAAGCATCAAGTATCGCACGTTATGTTTGAATTACACGAAGCATGTATTATACACATATACACGCATAGATAGAGATTATAGATTTAGAAAGAATTTAGAAAACGGATAGAACACGTTAGAATAGTTAAGTGAAATTTATACGCATGTAATTTATCGAACAACGCATGATGTGAATTTTCTCTTTGTATGTATTGTAACGACCAAACCGATGACAGTCAGCTCGTTGTATATATACGTTGTATACGAGACAACAGAGTACGGGCCGAGTATTGTGACCGGCAAGTAAACAGCATGAATTTCTATGTTATTTTTTTTCCCGCAAAGTAAAAGTGCCGAGAGTAAAAAGTGAGAATCTTCTTGAAAGGAATCTCGGAATGAGCCGATCTATTCTTGATTCTCTCTGTCTGTGGTTTGGTCTCTGTCCTTTTAGAGAGACTTCTTAAAGTAAGTAAAGAACGCATGGGAATTGCATAACGAAGGGTTGGATTTTGTTTTGGGTTTTGTAGGCAGAGCCAGGTGGTGGGTTCGGCAGCCCATCCGGGTCATACCCACAGTCATCATGGGCATCCGGCCCACCTCAGTCCTGGGGGCGGTGGCGGGGGTAGAAGTCCTGCAGGGGGGCCTGTAATAGGAAGTGCCCAACATCTGGGACAGCCCCTGTACCAGGAGTACGCTCACGTACGTTCAAGAGCCCATGCCGTGCCACCCCCGGTATACGTTACCGCCGCGCCTTCTCAGGCTCCCACTGCTATCCAGCAGCAACAAGTGCCCACCTATCAGGGA